ATTCGACCAAGCGGGCATTCGGCGCGCGCGAATCGAATTCATTGGAACGCCCCTGCGCGCGTGCTCGGGGGGCCATTCGCGCGTGTCGGAAATCCTTCCAAAACTTTCATCACCGACGCATGGACACCACCATCGCCATCGGCGGGATCAGCATCAACGCCGTCACTGGCATTGCTGGCGAGGCTGTCGCCGTCGCCACTAACGACGCTACTATCATTATCGTTTTTACCGTGGCCGACGTCGCCATGCTACCGCGCCCGCCAGAATCACCGGCTAGCACCGAAGTGTCCGCGCTTCAGCGCGGCCTGCGAGACGCGCTGGGGAATCCCCGGCGATTGGCGACCTCGCGGCCGTGGCGGTCGCGCCAAGTTAGCTGGCCGCTATGCGCGCGTGCCTGCGCGCGCTAGCGCGGCCGCAAGGATGCGCCAGCCAGCGCCAAGCAGTCATCGCAGCCGCCGCACCATGGGTTTTCCAAACCAAGTTGCGGGCGGGTGGGTGGAATGATTGCGCGAGCAGTGGGACTGACAATTTTAAGTTCGGCAGGGTGCATTGCACCGCGTAGATTGCACAATCTAATACAAAACCGTATATGTATGTATATATTGCACCAGCCAGCTGTGGCTAACATGCATATATGTATACACACATCTGTATACATATACACACACTCATGTAATATGAGCATATACGTATGTATATACACATATATATATATACATATATACGCGCATACATATATGTGTACATAATGCTGTATATATACATATATATATACACATACGCATACATGGCTACACATAAATACATATATGCATGCATAAATGCAAACCTACATACATACATACATACATACATACGTATCCACAACCGTATATTTTGCAATTCATATGTTTATAAGGCTGGAGACCACGGAAAGAGCGCACCCCCCCTGACCCCCCCCCCGCCCCAAGCGAATTTCGAATGCTCGGCCCTGCCTAGCGCTTTGGGTGTTCTCTTATGTTCGACACTCTGGGCCCTCTTGGGCAAGCCTTAGGCCTCTTTGGGGCTCGTCTGGGGACTCATTTGGAGCTGTCCTGGGGCTATTTCAACGCCTCAAGAGCCGATCGTAAGCGACAAGGCGAAAAGACCAAACACATGTTTTCCCAGTGGGTTGTCATAGACTTTCAATTATCTGGGCATTATTCGGCCAGCCTTGGGCCTCTTTGGGGCTCGTCTGGGGACTCCTTTGGAGCCGTCCTGGGGCTATCTTGACGCCTCAGGAGCCGATCGTTAGCGAAAAAACGAAAAAGCTGAACACGCTGCTTTTCCAGTGGGTTTTCACTGGACTTCAATTATTTGGGCTTTCTTCGGCCAGCCTTGGGCCTCTGCGGGCCTCGGCTTGCGCCTGCCTAGAGACAGCCTGGGGCTATCTTGACGCCGCCCAGGCCGACCGGAAGCGGAAAGGCGAGAAGACCAAAAACATTGTTTTTCCAATTATTGTTTTAATTTTTGGTTTTCGTACCTCCAGGCCCTGTAGGGCCAGTCTGTGTCCTCTTTGGGGCTCGTCTGGGGACTCATTTGGAGCCGTCCTGGGCCTACCTTGATGCCTCAAAAGCCAATCGGAAGCGACAAGGCGAGAATACCAAAAACATTGATTCTCCAATGGGTTATCGCGGATGTTCTATTTTTTCGGTCCTCTTCTGCCAGCCTTGGGCCTCAGTGGGCCTCGGTTTGCGCCTCTCTGAGGCCATCCTGGGGTCATCTTGACGTCTCTCGAGCCAACCGGAAAGGAAAAGCGAGAAGGCTGAACACATTGCTTTTCCAATTGGTTTTCTCTGATTTCCGATTCTCTGGGCCCTGTTGAGCTAGCCTTGGGCCTCTTTGGGGCTCGTCTGGGGACTCATTTGGAGCCGTTCTGGGGCTATCTTGACGCCTCAAGAGCCGATCGTAAGGGAAAAAGCGAGACGGCCAAACACATTGATTCCCCAATGGGTTCTCATTGAATGTCAATTATTTGGGCCAGCCTTGGGCCAGGCCAGCCTTGGGCCTCTTTGGGGCTCGAAGCCAGCAGCCCAGCAACGCGCATGCCGAAAATAGCATGTTATGTAGGAGGTTGTGGAGGAAGAGGAAAAGGAGGAGACGAGCGTAGGGGCGGGTCCCCGATCCTCACCTAGGCACCCCCAGCCCCATTGGCCGGCGGGGCGGCGGTGGGCGGCGGCGCACCTGCCTTGAGGAAGCCGACGGAAACCCCGCCGTAGTAGACGATGGGCGGCGGCGCACGGCCGCATTCTCTAGACACACAGCCAAATGAAGAGCGATGCGTGGGATGATTCGAAAAGAAGTGCGGAGGAGGAGGCGGACTCGAGGAAGCGAGCGATGGCACAAGCGCGGAGAGAGGGGGAGCAGGCGAGGGGCAGGCAGTGGCAGGAGCAGAGCTCAACGGAGCGAAGGAAGAGGTGAGGGAGGAAACGCAGGAAAACCCCGAAACAGATTGTGCGGGATGCTGGAGGCGAAGCGCATCTGAAGGAGGACAGGCGGGCGCAGGATCAGAGTGGGAGGCGCTCGACATCGTGACCAACGGAGCGATGATGGGCAAATGCGGGGACACAACCGCGGGAGGAGGGGGAGCAGGCGAGGGGCAAGCAGCGGCAGGAGCAGAGCTCATCAACGAAGCGAAGGACGGGGGAAGGAGGGGCGACGGTGATAGGCCTTTTCCCGTCTGCCCTTCACGTGGTGGGGTGCCTGCCGTCGGTGAGGCCGTTGAAGAGAGTGTCGCCCTCTGTGAGCCCCACGCCGCCGAAGACGGCCACGAGGGAGCAATACACGGGGACAACGCCACTGGAGTCGGCGTAGCCGCTCTCATGGTCCCCGTAGAGCATGATGCCGGTCCCGACAAGGACATTGGAGCACAGGACGGCAAAGGAGCAGAAGCACGCATCGGAGTCGTCGCCAGAATACACCCCAGACGAGAGCGTCGCGCGACCAGAGACGCCATTGAACCAGAGACCTTCCCCTCGCAATTTACTCCAGCCTGCGGCAAAGGGTTCGAGGAGCACCCATGCACAGGACTTTGCGTTCTGACGGCCGCCCTCCAGAGATGTGCATTGTTGTGAGCACTACGCACCATGTGAGACCACTCCTCGCAATTCACTCCAGATGCCTGAAGCGACGGGCTCGAGGAGCACCCGCCGCCAGGACTTAGCGTTCTGACCTCCCGTGTCGCAACACCAGGTGACAGCTGCAGCAAATCCTCGCAATTTACTCTAGATGCCTGGACACCTGGGCTCGAGGAGCACCCATTGCCAGGACTTAGCGTTCTGACATTATCTGCACTCCACCAACGGGGTGACGACTGAGCCTGCTCGAGGAGCACAGGACTTTGCGTTCTGCCAGATTCAAGGCCGCCGAGGTCGTCGATGTGTCCGACTCTGGAAGGCGTCGCTATCTGAGTCGTAGGGGTACCAGGTATGGAGGGAGTAGAGACACTGCCGTCATCACTGTGAACCGTGGGTACGAGCCGTGGGGTAAGACACGGTGACTGACCATCATCCCTGCCCATGCCAGGTCCAGAGCAGCATTCCTCATCAGTGTCGACGCGGGGCTCGCTGTCCGAAGTCTGGCTCAACGAGATGTGCCCATGACCACCAGCGGCCACACCGTCACCGTCATTGGGATCTCCAGGTTGATCGGGATGCAGCCCTTCATCTTCATCATCGCTAGATGAGGTCGAAGAGGTCGTCGTGGGTTGCGGCAGGCGGTGGAGGATCAGTGCATCAGGAGGCTGCCATTTCTTTTGCAGTTGAGCGTCAGGCTTGGCCAACCTCAGGTTTCTGACTGCAGCGCGCGCACTAGATCGAAGGTCATTAGCGGTGACGTATAAACGAAAGCGCATATTGTGGTAAATGTTGAAGGCCACCGCCAGGGGAGGAGGAGGAAGAGGTAGAGGAGAAGGAGGTGAAGGAGAAAGAGGAGGAGAAGGAGGAATAAGAAGAAAGGGGGAGAGAGGAGAAAGAGGATGACGATGAGGAGGAGAAAGAAGAGGAGGGAAAGCGGGAGGAGGAGAAAGAGGAGGAGGAGGAGGAGGAGGAGGAGGAGGAGGAGGAGGAGGAGGAGCAGGAGGATGCCCTCTTTCATGCTAGCCCAACCACTCGCCTGAGACAGATTCGCGCCTCTGGGCCCGGAAACGCCCTGAGATGGCCTCAACTGGTGATGTCCGGTCGCTCCCGCTCAGGAACTCCTCACCCATTCCGACTTGGCGGTGGCCCGCCCCATGTCCACGCGCACGTCGGCCGCCTGCATTCGAAACTACAAGGAACAAGGCGCATGGTGCGAAGCGCCAATGCAGTCTTGTATATGTATATAAATATACACGTGTGTAGATGCATATATATCTATATATATATATATATGTACATGAAGTTTGCCTATGTTTGCGATGTCCCGCCCTCCAGATCCAGATTGCCCCAAGATGGGCCTGATAGCTCAGTGACAGTGCTCAAAACACCCCGACGAGGATCCAGACATCAAAGAGGCCCAAAAGACAGCCCAAAGATGGTCCCAGCGTCACTCAGCTGAACCCTCGCAGTGTTTGATCTGGGCTGGCTTTCAAATTTCAAAGGTTCCTTAGGTACTCAATTCGCGACCCAAGAGGCCCGCTTGTGACGGCGCGGACGGCATAAAGATGTCGGCGACGCGCAGCTGATAGAAACTGTCCCCATGGACCAGCCCTTTGCAGAAACACTCGAAAGGGATAGTGGGCACGTGGTGCAGTGGGAGCGGGACAAGGCTGAGGCGCAGAAGATGGAGGCGGGGAGCCAGGAGGGATGAGGACACGGAAGAACACCCGAAACGGCTCGATCGAAGATCGCGGTCGCACCGGCTGCGGGCCCCGCCCGCTGACGCGCCGCTCGAACGCGCAAGGCCACGCCGACCGAGCGAGGCTCGGGCAAGGCCAGCCAGCGACCACCGGCGGCAGCGCGCTTGGCGCCCGCGCGCAAGGCATCGGGCGCTGAGCCCGCGGCCCCGCGGCGGCGCCAGGCCGCGTGGAGGCGAGACTGCAGCCACCGCGCCAGCTGCCCCACCTGGCCGGCGGGCCCCGCGAGCCGGCCGCTGCGACGGAGCCGCCCGCGGCGGGCCAGCGCTCGATCTTCCTCTCTCTCTCTCTCTCTCTTTCTCTCTCTCTCTCTCTCTCTCTCTCTCCCTGTCTGTCTTTCTCTGTTTGTCTCTCTCTCTCTCTCTCTCTAGTACTCCCTCTCTCTCTCTCTGTCTCTCTTTATCGCTGTTCTCCTCCACTTTCTCCCCTCCTCCTCTTCCGCCTCCTGCTTCTCCGGCTCGTCATGCTGAAGATGATGATGAAGATGCTGATGATTATGAAGTTGATGATGACGATGATGATGAAGATGAAGATGGTTATGATGATTATGATGATGATGACGATGACGATGATGATGATGATGATGATGATGATGATGATGATGATGATGATGAGTACGATAATGATGATGGTGATGACGATGGCGATGGCGATGGCGATGACGCTGATGATGATGATGCTGATGCTGATGCTGATGATGCTGAGCGCCACGCTTATCGAGCCAGCCCTCCAAGGGAAAATGGGCCCTCTCTCACTCATCGTGTACTTTGGAAGGCAGCTTAGCGTGTACAAGCCCCGACCTGCTAAGATGGTGCAGACTCAGCGGGTACACCACTTCCATCGCTTCCTGGGTTCCGCTTGTAACCCGTATGCCTCGCCGCCCAACCGTATACTCGACCTTGTCTTGGCATGGGGGAGATCTGTTCCGTGAAGTCTGCATGCGTTGTCACGCGTATATCCGGAGCGCGATATGTTTCCGAGATCGCGCCTGAATTTGGCGCTCGCATATGGGAGAACTATGGTTACGTGCTTTGATCATGAAGCGTACGTCGATCGGTGTTTTTTGGTGATCATTGCCTGCAGCATCACTCGTTTTTGGAGGTATGCAGAGTCTGCATGCGCCGCGGCTGACATGCAGGCGGGCACCGAAGAAACAATAATTTCGGGCCCACTGCAACGCGCAACGTCCTATCAAGGGACCTCGGCAACCTGGTTGCCAATTTGAGAAAATAAATATACACACATATTTGACTACACGAGCACCACTCGCCAGCGCTATGGAACAACAGAGACACATATCAACGCACGCACACGTACACGCACACCGGGCCGCAACTTGGGCCTCGGACGACATCTGTAATGGAAGGCGCGAACGCGCTTCAGAGCTCATGAAGCACCAGCTGGCCAAGCCCACTTGGTGAGCGTATTCTTATTTGGCGTTTCGACATTGGGCGGAAGGGGGGGGAAGGGGGGGGTCTGGCTCCAGACCTCTGCTTAGTGCGACTGTTTGCGACAGTGCGCCCTCTGGGGGAGGGAGTTCACCTGCTCGAAACGGGCGCCCAAAATAGCCAAGATCCACTCCACGGGGGGGGAGAGGGGGGGGTGGCGAGGGCCCGCGTCGATCGGCGAAACAATGAATAAAAAACAATCACTTGTCAAAACACCCGAGACTTTTACTGCTTCGAGCAATCTCCACCCCAAATCACGAGGCGGGACAAGGCGGGACACCTTGGGGAGCACAGGCACACGTCTTCGGGCCTTGCGGCCGCGGCATGCAGCGGCCAGCTACGTCAAAGAGGCACGCTGCGGCATACCATTGGAGAGCTCTGGGACACTTTGGGCCTGGTGGCCGCGGTGTGCAAGGTGCGCGAGGCGGGTCGGGAACTCCACGTGCTGTTCATTCCAACTGATGAGACACTTTTCCACCACCGCTACCAGAGGCAGGACGGGGGAAAAGGGAGGATGGGGAGGACCTTCTTCTCCTCCTACTTCTCTCCCCCTCCTCCTCCTCCGTCTCCCCCTCCCTCCTCTCCTACGAGTGGTAGTGATGGTGGGAAATCGGCCTATCATCCAACAACCCCAACCTGTCCCCATGGGTAACAACAACACACGTCCATGACCTGATTGACTAGGACACCCACAGCAGCTGGCCACCGGATCCGTGGAGAGGTCCAGGCCCAACTTCTCGTAGACGCGGTTCCTCCGCAGCCCCTGCAGGGTGGCGTCCGTGCCTGCTGGCGCTGACGCGCGGAATCTGTCAGGCAATATGGGCGCTGCCGGTCCCGAGGCTTGAAGGTTCCAGTCTTCCTCCCCCCATGCCCGTACCTCACCCTCCGTCCTCACAGTCCTGAACTGCTACTCATCTTCTTCGATGGCAGTGAGAGGAGCTAGACAAAGTATGATCGCTCTGTTTTGTGTTTCGTGCTGCTTCCTGAGGAGCAACGTGCATCCTCAATACCGGCGCTTCTGAGGCAGCCAGTACGGCATGTCCCTTGAGCCAAAACATGGCAGTGCACGCGGACAGTGTTGAGGGCGCCAGCCTTATGACGGCGGCAGCAGTAATGAGATACAGCTGTCTTCGACTCCCTCCGTCGTCCTCCTCCGTCCTCCTCCCTTCTTTAACCTCCCCCTCTCCTCCCTTCTCCATCATCTCTCCCTCCCTCACCCCTTCCGTCCGCCTATCCCCTCACTCCTCCTCCCCCTCACCTCCATCCCAACCCCCCTTGGCATATACAGCAACATGAGAGAATCAAGCCGAAGTCCGCCCCTATGTTTCTGTCCTTCCCCTAATCCTCCTCCCCCCTCCTCCCCCACCTATCCCTCCCCTTTCTAATGCTTTCTTCTCCGTCCTCCTCCAGTCTCCTTCATCCTCCTGTCCTTTCTTACGCCCCTTCCCCTCCTCCTCCCCCGATGACTTCTCCACCTCCTCCTCCTCCTCCTCCGCCTGTCTCTCTCTCTCTCTCTCTTTCTCTCTCCCCACCCTCCTCAGCAGTGAGAGGAAGAGAAAGAGAAAGAGATAAGGGAAGGTGGTGGGGGGGTGGATCCAGAGGAGGATACGGGAGGACGATGGGGGCCAGGAGCCCAACACGACCAAGTCCCACAAACACAGGGGGCCAAGACCTGGAAGGACATGGCCTCCAGGCCTTTCTGATGTCGACGCCCACCGAGATCGCCCCGAAGGGTCACACGGAAATCACAAGCAAAACAGTGAAGAGGCAAGGAGGAGTCACAGCACCTGCTGGGCGAACAGGCGCTGGCCGCGCCCCTGCGACGAGGAGGAGGAGAAGGAGGAGGAGGAGGAGGAGGAGGAGGAGGAGGAGGAGGAGGAGGACGGCGACGACAAGCAAAATGCCCTCGCCACAACAACTGCCGCCCGCCTGCCTGCGAAAGACCCAAGAAAAAAAGGAGGGGCAAAAAGCCGTGGCCCAGGCGGCGCGGCCCACCGCGAGCTGCGAGCTGCATAGGCCGCGCGGGTGCGACGCCGTGGTGGCGGGGACGACCCGCGTGTGGGTCACATGGCAACCGGAGCGGCCACTGTATAACCAGATGAGGCGCTTTACAAACAGCATTGGCTTTCCCAGAAGGGCACTTTGCAACCAGGAAGGCCACTTTACAACCAGGCGAGAAAACGCACATAAGCGACACACGCTTCCGAAATCCCCGTGGGTCGGGGGGCACTTCGCTCTCTGAAGCGTCTTAGTTGTAAAGTGACCTGTCTGAAGCGAGAATATACGAAATGGCGGATCCATAATGGCATCCAACAATAATCCTATTGGAATCCTAGTGGCACCCTTCCCGCTGGGATCCTGTTGGCATCATGTGACCCCCACTGGTATCCAACAAGATTCCTCGATATGGGACTTACGGGTGTCCTACTGGATTCCGACGGGGCGTTTCCTATTGAAACCCGTCGGGGCCCTTCCCAATGGAAAACGATTGGAAACTCCAGTGGGTTACAATCGAAAAACCTCCTATTGGAATGCTGCGGGGAACGCACTGGGGGTGGAATATGTAAACCCAGTGGGCATGCTTGTGGGATCCAAGAGGAGCTATTGGAACCCACTTGAGATCCAATAGATATCATCCCGCTACAGGCTGGTGACAGGCCTGGGCGGTTTAAGATCGTTTGACGCCCATGCCCTAAATCTACATCTTTGCTGGAGCTGCATGACCTCTGCTGGAAGATCAGGATATAGAGAAACGTTCGCCGAAAAATGCGCAGAAGAACGCGCACGCCCCCAGGAGAGCGGACATGTGGCCAAGAAGTCGCTTGTATAATTCTAGCCAACGCATGCGGATCATATTTGGTTGCATCATAGGCATGTGTTGCCATCGCGCCTCATCATATTGCAACGACAAAACCGTATGTTTTCGCATGTGCGGAAGCATGCGCGCCCAGAAATGCGGCAATGTGGCCAGGACATCGTTGGTCAATGTCTAGCCAATACATGTGGATTTCAAATGGTTGTCTGCTAGCATGCGAAGACATGTTTGTCATTGGTAAACTAGCCGAAACGTGTGGATTTCAATATGCGTGTGTGTGTGTGTTTGACCGCAAGGTCAAGCTTCGTTCTCGCGCCTCATCGTTTGGCCAGAACAAAACCAGATGGTTTCGCAGTCGCGGTCGCATGCATACCCAGGAGGACGGACATGTGGATACAAAATCAATGATAACACCCTGGCCAGTACTTGTGGATTTCAAATCGCGGGCTTTCGAATCATAAACCATGTTTGTCCTCGCGCCTCATCGCCCGACCATCTCGAAAACCGTCTGTTTTCGCAATTGCAAAAATGCGTGACCAGACGGGCAACAGTGTGGCCAATAAATCGAAGATAACATTCGGACCACTAAGTGTGGATACCAATGCGTTTTTTGTTCACCGACAGCTTTTGTCCTCGCGCTAAATCTTCTGACAATAACAAAACCACCTGTTTTCGCATTCGCGGAAACATGCGCGCCCAGGTGGGCAAAAATATGGCCAAGGAGTCGTTTGTGAAACTCGAACCAACGCATGTGGATTTCAAACTGTTGCGTTTTGCATCATAGGCCATGTTTGTCCTCGCGCCCCATCGTCTGTCAATCGCAAAAGCGCATGTTTGCGCAATTGCGGAAGCACGCGTACCAAGGAGGGCGGAAAGAGCCCGAGAAATCGTTGGTTAAATTCGACCCAATGTATTCGAATTTCAATGTGTATAGTTCTTGCCACGCAGGCACTTTGTGTACTCGTTTGGCAGAGGCTTTAGAGCGCTCAGGCGCTCGGAGGCCTCTGTTGAGCGCTCAGGCGCTCAGACGCCTCTGCAAAACGCCCAGACGCTCAGAAGCCTCTGCAGAGCGCTCAGGAACTCAGAAGCCTCTGCAGGCGCTCAGGCGCTCAAAAACCTTTGCAGAACGCTTAGGCGCCCAGCAGACTCTGCAGAGCGCCCCGGCGCCCAGAAGCCTCAGCAAAGTGCTCAGGCGCCCAAAGGCCTCTGCAAAGCGCTCCTGCGCTCAGATGCCCCTGCAGAGAGCTCAGGCGCCCAGATGTCTCTCTGCAAAGTGCTCAGGCGCTCAGAAGCCTCTGCAAAGCGCTCAGGCGCTCTGATGCCTCTGCAGAGCGCCCAAGCGCTCAGAAGCTCCAGAAGCCCCTGCAGAACGCGCGCGCGCTTCTGAATGCTGGTTGTAAAGTGGCCGTTCTGGTTGCAAAGAGCCCCGTCTGGGTTGTAAAGGGGTCCGTTCTGGTTGTGAAGTGGGCTGTTCTGGTTGTAAAATGGTCGTTTTCAAAGGAATACCGGAATACCAAGGAATTCGATCCTTCGTTGGTTGTATAGTGACCTCTTTCGGTTGTAATGTGTCGTTCGGGTTGTAAAGAGACTGATTCTCGGGGCGACTCCCCCAGAGGAAGAACAGGTGCCCATACCGCTGCGCGTCCCCCGTCTTCTTGGCCTTTCTGGGCCTCCTGGGAAGCCCTTGTCGCCACGGTTGGATTCGCCCCGAGATTCTGGCCAGAATGCACCCGGGGAAAAGTCCGTGGAGTAGCGGTATCGGTCTACTTTTTCTCGTGGTTTCTCTGGGCAACTCTAGAGGGCCCAAGACGGTTCCGTGCAGGGCGGTCGTGCCTTAACACGGGCAGCTGAGCCCCGTGCAAGAGATAAGGGGCCTCTCAACAGGTGCGGCTCGGCAACTCGCCCGCCCGAGTGACAGTGGAGAACGGGCACACATGACTGGTGGCAGCCACGCGCCACCCCCGCGATGCCCAATAATCCAAGGCCGCTGTCAACAGAAAAGCAGCGAACCAGCGCGCAGCAGGACCGACCTGAGCATCGCTTAACTGATCCCCATCTCCACCAGCGTGGGCTGGGACCCACTGGCCAATTTACCCCCCTGATGGGGATATAGGCCGCTCGCTTCGGGTTTCGAGGGGCATATCCCCAACTGAGGTGGTGAGACAGTGGGGCTCGAGATTTGGATGGGGATGGGGATAGGGATCGGTTCAACGATACTGACGATCATCCTGTAGGCTGAAAGAGGAGACGAACTCTCGGCTGAAGCTCTGCGGCGGCGGACCGCGGCCTGAAGCCCGGAGCGAATCCTTCTCCACTGGGCCTTCGCACATCCTGCGCTGCCGCCGGTTGAGAGCGGAACAGAAAGCATCAGGGAGAGCAGCCGGCATCAAAAGCACCGTGCGAGGGCGATCCACGATCGGAAGCAAGGGAAACCAAAACTTGGTGGAGTTCTAGAGAAAGGGGGCATCAGCTCCCCCAAACACTGTGGGCATATCCAGTATAAGCGAAAGCGCCGTGTAGAAGGAATGAGATTATCAAAGCCCGGCGCAGAAGAATCGACGATGTCATGCTGACATCCAAACAAACAGCCGTGATATTGCACGTGAAAGCGCGCCGAAACGCCCATGCCCCTAACACAGATATGGGGGACAAAAACCAGTCCCAAGAAAGGCCCAATCTTTTGAATTACCTATCCCACACTTCTCTCAATGTGCAGGCTCACATCATCTCGGACCTCCCCCATCCACCTTACAATGTGGGCCCTTAGATCAGTTCCAGCATCCAAATTGAATCAGGAGAGACCGCCAGAACACGGCGCGCCGCTGTTGGGAAACTCCGATGGTCGGGATCAACAAGGCATGACAATCTACAGAGCAGGCTCTGCGATCGGCGGTAGCTCTCCAGAAGAGCAGGAGCGAAACTGTCCTGCGACCCTCCTGCGATTGTGCTGTAGATGCCAATCTCATCA